GTAGACTTGCTTTGATTTCGTCAAGACGTTGTGGAGTTGATCTCATCGCCATATCAATCTCATAGGGGTGAAATCCGACCCCCACAATAGACACCTTCTCAACCACCATAGTTCATAGGCATTTAGGCACGACTTCCCATTTTCATTTATTGCAAAACTAAACCAACGTGTAATGGTGACCATATATTTGCGGGGCAGAGCAAAAATATTAGAGAGCGCGGTGCAGTTTAAATACGGTTCTTGCGGGATAAGCAGATCATGTAAAATAAGCGGTACGAAATAAATAAAACATAAGTTGAGTTTAATAACAAGGGATGCGGTGCAGATATAATAATCATCAAATTACGACTATTTTTTTTTCATATTTCTAATAACAAAAGTATTTCTTTTTAGATATAACTAAATTAATCTATACACTTAACTCTCATAACTTTTTCCTAATTTTTAAAGCTTTTAAAAAAAAAATATTTGAAATACCGCACTTTCCTATTCTAAAAACGGACCATAAATGATGTGAGTAGAATGTTTAGTGCGGATCACTATTATTCTTCATAAAATTGAACCGCAAATGCATCATTACATTTTTCAATTATTTTATTCTAAATACGTCCCGCACTTGAAAAATGTGTTGGATGGAGAAAATCAAATGGATCCACATAATTTATCAAATATTGCTCCGCTTTCGGTCTCCCATTCAAAGCCCGTGTACAAAGCAATATGGACCGACATTTGAAAGCTGCAGGCCGAGGTGGTCTTGATGTAGACATTAGCAACATGATATGGACTCTTTACAAAGAGCAGAGCTAATTAGAGTAAAAGCCATTTACACTTTCAAACGGTATGGTCTTCTTTTAATTTGCAGATCCTTATAAACCTAGTTAATAAAGTGTCATAGCTGAAGTGCCCTATGTATTGTAAATATATAATTGCGCAAAACTTTGTTAAGTACCTGAGCAAAAGCCCTTGTTTCAGACAAAATCATGTCAAAGTATCAAACATGACAAAAAATAGCCTCGAAAATTATGTGATAACTTATGGCTAAGGTGACTATAAATGGACGTACGTAAATACAGAACAAAAAAAAAATGGTCAGAGTCACTCAAAACAGTGCCAAAGTTTTTTTTTTCTTTGGTTCTTTTCACATTAGATAACTTTCCTTTTTTTCATCAAGATTTTTTTTTATGACTGTTAGATTTGTAAGATTTTATAAGCCATCTCCTTTGTTCTGCTCAGACACATGTCTTACCTTAATAATCGCAATTATGTGTTCAAAACTGGGAAAATAGTGTATGGTTAGATTTATCGCAATAATATGGTTGTAGTGGAGATATTTGGTGCATCAAAATAATATTGCTATATTTATTCTTTGAATATAATAAATCGCTATAAAATGAGTCAGACTTTCAAAATATAGAAGGAAAATAGATTTTCTTTTTTTTTTTTCTAAAATGGAAAATAATGATTTGAAACCATGAATCTTGTTGACAAAAAGAAGAGGATCTGACTTTGGAAACATCATCTAAATTTTGGATTCTCATATTGATTTTGTTCATGTATCTAAACATAAAAAAAAAAAAAATGAGAGTGATATGCTAGTGGAGACTCTTGGCATGAATCACTTTACCATATAGTATTTCATAAAATAATGAAAAAAAGGATTTTTGTCTGTTATGAGAAAAATCATTGATATTTTGTTTTCAGTAAGAAGAAAACCAATCAGAAAATAGATTTTTTTTTTCGGTTAAAAAAAACGTCTGAAAATAATTTAAAACAGAGGCTGAGATA